CTACAAAAAAAAAAAAAATTCGCTAGGCATGGTGGTGCATACCTGGAGTCCCAGCTACTGGGGAGGCTGAGATAGGAGGATCACTCAAGAGTTTGGGGCTGTAGTGAGCTGTGATTGTGCCACTGCGATCAACCTGGGTGACAGAGTGAGACCCCTGTCTCAACCAAAAAAGAAAGAAGGAAAAAAAAGTCAAGTTCAGCTTAAGTAAAAAACTACTCAGTTACAAAGTGGTTCATTTGAATCCAGACCTGCCTGCCTCCAAAGTTTCCATCTGTAGATTGAAGTAAAATAGAGGCTGTGCTCAGCAGCTCACACCTATAATCCCAGCACTTTAGGAGGCCAAGGCAGGAGGATCCTTGAGTGCTTGAGGCAGGAGTTTGCGACCAACTTGGGCAACACTGCATAATCCTCATCTCTATAAAACATTTAAAAATTATCTGGGTATGGTGGCATTTGCCTGTAGTCCTATTACAGAGGCTAAGATGGGAGGATGGCTTGAGCCCAGAAATTTGAGGTTATAGTGAGCTATGATCACACCAAGGTTCATAATGATTCAAGCACAAGTGAGATTTCTTTTTTCTTTCTTTTTTTTTTTTTGAGATGGAGTCTTGCTCTGTACCCAGGCTGGAGTACAGTAGCATGATCTCTGCTCACTGCAACCTCCACCTCCAGGGTTCTGCTCACTGCAACCTCCACCATCCGGGTTTAAGCAATTCTCCCGCCTCAGCCCCCTGAGTAGCTGGGACTACAAGTGCCTGCCACCACACCCTAATTTTTGTATTTTTAGTAGAGACCAGGTTTCACCATGTTGGCCAGGATGGTCTTGATCTCTTTTTTTTTTTTTTGAGACGGAGTTTCACTCTTGTTACCCAGGCTGGAGTGCAATGGTGCGATCTCGGCTCACTGCAACCTCCGCCTCCTGGGTTCAGGCAATTCTCCCGCCTCAGCCTCCTGAGTAGCTGGGATTACAGGCATGCGCCACCACGCGCAGCTAATTTGTTTGTATTTTTAGTAGAAACGGGGTTTCACCATGTTGACCAGGATGGTCTCGATCTCTTGACCTCGTGATCCACCCGCCTCGGCCTCCCAAAGTGCTGGGATTACAGGCTTGAGCCACCGCGCCCGGCCGGTCTTGATCTCTTGACCTCATGATCTGCCCACCTCAGCTGCCCAAAGTGCTGGGCATACAGGTGTGAGCCCCCGCACCTGCCCTCTTTTTTTTTTTGAGATATTGCATAGGCTTGAGTGCAATGGCACAATCTCGGTTCACTACAACCTCCACCTCTCGGGTTCAAGCAATTCTCCTGCCTCAGCCTCCCAAGTAGCTGGGATTATAAGCACATGCCATCACGCCTGGCTAATTTTTTGTATTTTTAGTAGAAAAAAATAATGTTAGCCAGGCTGGTCTCGAACTCCTGAGCTCAGGTGATCTACCCTCCTTGGCCTCCCAAAGTGCTGAGATTACAGGAGTGAGCCTCTGCATCTGGCGATTCAAGCACCAGTGAGATTTCATGGAAGTACAGAGGCTTCAAGCTGCAGACTTATCCTTTTAGGGGTCTGGATTAAACCCAGCCTCTTTGAGAAGTCTCCTCCCATTTCCACAAACCAGATTCCTCCTCCTTTGACTGACATCCTTAATGGTACTGCAAACATTCTGCCTTGAATCAGTGTGTCTACAGTCTTCCCCTGCAGACTCCTTCTAGGAAAATAGCTCTGTTAGTGAAAACAAGCTCATTCCTCTTTTTATCACCTTTACAACCTTCACAGACGACTGCAACAGCCTACAGCATTCCAGGTAGAGGAGGGTAACTGAAACAGATGTGTACCATTCACTGATTCCAGCAGCGAAGTTCAGAGTTATTTTCTACTGTTACATTTAGACTGGAGGATCCCCAGTGGAATGCATAGGGATATTATTACGAAATCATTTAGTACCAAATCACTTACAATCTATCTATTGTAACTATTTATGGTTATCACCCAAATCACTTCCAGGCTTAATAGAGACAGCATTTTGTAGTTTTCCATGTGTGTTTAACTCGTTGGTCATAAGAACAGAAAAATAGCTCAGAGCTGTCTGAGCTATGTGAGATATGCGAAATTTATCAAGCCCAGAGAGACACGAGTGTGGGACTTCCCTCCCTTCCCAGGCGCAATTGTTTAAAGGCATTTTGCTCCTGACTAGCTGCTTCACCGATTACCTTACCTTCATGTTAACAAAATTTGTGATATAAACAACAAGGTACAGCGAATCAATAGCTTATGTCATTTTAATGTACATTCTTGGTAAGTCACTTAGGAACCACCTCTTATTTTCTTTTAAAAACCCATTTGTAACTGCTGCTCATCAGAGCGTACATTCAGGGCAACTCGAGTCAATGTTCCTGGGTTGCAGTCCTCAAAGTTGTCCCAAATGAACTCTCTACTTAAATAACTTTTGCCTCGGTTTTTTCCCTTAGGTCTACAGTCTCATATGATCATAGCCATTGCCATGGAGGGTGTCGGAGGGAAACCCCGCGAGTGCTGAGGCAAGGATCTGAAGCCTCAGCCTGTTCCCATATGAATACTGAATTAGAAAATAATTAGAAATATAAGCACACAGTTATTACTATAATAATCATATATAATAATTTAGTTATTCACATATACTCATAAAGATATATATATACTCAATATAACCTTTTACTGCAACTTCTGCCACCCAGGTTCAAGCAATTATCCTGTCTCAGCCTCCAAAGTAGCTGGGATTACAGGCATGTGCCACCATGCCCAGCTAATTTTGTATTTTTAGTAGAGATGGGATTTCACCATGTTGGCCAGGCTGGTCTTGAACTCCTGACCTCAAGTGATTCACCTGCCTCAGCCTCCCAAAGTGCTAGGATTCCAGGCATGAGTCACCACACTCAGCCTTTATTTCTTCTTCTTATTTATTTATATTTGAGATGGAGTTTCTCTCTGTCACCCAGGCTGGAGTGCAGTGGTGCTGTCCTAGCTCACTGCAACCTCCACCTCCCAGGTTTGAGCAATTCTCCTGCCACAGCGACTCTAGTAGCTGGGATTACAGGCACATGCCATCATGCCTCGCTGATTTTTGTATTTTTAGTAGAGATGAGGTTTCACCATGTTGACCAAACTGGTCTCCTGACTTCAAGTGATTTACCCAACTGGGCCTCCCAAAGCGCTGGGATTACAGGCATTAACCACCCACTCAGCCTTTATTCTTATTTTTTGAATCTAGGTTTTGCTCTGCCACCTAGGCTAGAGTGCAGTGGCATGATCATGGCCCAATGCAGCCTTGAACTCCTGGGCTCAGGTGATCCCACTGCCTCTTCCTTCCAAAGTGCTGAGATTACAGGCTTGAACCAGTATGTCTGGCCTGAGCCCCGAGGCTTCTGAAGGGGAAAGTAGGAGAGAAATCAGGTAAAACCACCACAGCCAAAAAGGGCACAAGCACAAGGGAGTGGGAGAAATGGCAAGCAGTTAGGCCAAACACTCAGAAAATCATCTCTCTGGTTAAATGGGTCTTCTCTTGACACAGCAATAAGAATTTCTTTGAAGCTTGGTGCTCTCAGAGGTCAAAGGCCTGCATCAGGTAAGTGACCTATTTTGTTTATAGACAAAAAAGTCAAAGGTCGGAAATGTTGCCAGGTGGCAGGACTTAGTATTTATTTATTTGTTTGTTCTGTATTGGGCAGACTCCTGAGCTAGAGTAGGCTGACAGCCTCCCCTGTGGCCTGATTTGGTAGGATAAAATATGTACACTTTGGGGAGTAACTTTCCTTAGAGTCCTCCCAGCCTGAGAGCAGGCACCCACGAGTCCAGGGGAGAGGATTAGCGACTTGGGGGTCAGGGGAGGGCTGAACTTGCCTAGGGAGACCCTAGGAAGTGGTGAGTGACTTCCCAGGGTCACTGGGAAGAGGACCACATTGTCTTCCTCTCAATCCCATCTACTGAGCAGCCTTCCTCCACTTAGTTTCCTGGCAAATTAGGCAGAGTGATTGCATGCTTTCCAGCATTCAGGAACCAGCAAGTTCAAAACGTGTGATCTTGGGTTCCAGTCCAAGAAGACTCTGTGTGTCCCTCCAACTCCTCCCACTTAGCCTTTTCCCAAACAAAACCAAATCTAGTTCTCTGAGACCCAGATTTGTTCCGGCTTCCTCTCCCTTTTCCATGTCCGGGTCCACACCCCATCTGATGTTGACAGTGGTGTCCTGACCACAGACTTAGTATCTGGCCAAGCTGGGCGGTAGGACAGGCTCAGCAGTGCACACGGCTCCCCGATGGTGGTGCTGACGCTAACAGCGCTGATAGCATAGGTGGGTGGCGGCCTGCTCTCTGTTACTCATGCACTTTCACATTTGCAATTTCACGGGGTCCTCCCAGGGACTGGCCACACCGGGAAGGCAGCTTTACTTACTGTGCTGCTGAAGAGGCAGCGAAGCTGCTGGGAACTCACATCCTGTATCTGCAGCTTCCATCCCACCCCTCGCACTGAGGACAGACGAAAATAGGCCCAGGAATAGGTAGCAAAGAATGAAAGCTATGTTAGTCCGCAGCTGATAAGGAGAGAGGAGACTGCTAAGTTTAGCGGCCTGGGTCGGGGAGACTGGGGCTGATCCCCAAGTTTGCCCATGAAGGGAGAAGTTTGCCCAGAACTCGGAGGCAGTGTCCTGAGGGTACAGCCCAGGCCTTGGCCCTTGCTCCTCCCCATCGGAATAGTCTCCTGAAAGCCCACACTCCTTGCCCTCTGTGCCCATAAAGGAGAGAATCGAGAGTCTTGGACCAGAACTCCAAGTCCCTGCAGCCACCAACTGAAGCCCCAGTCCACTAGGCCAAGCCAGCTTTTCCTATTGCCTAGGTGCTGGTGGGGGGCGAGGGAGGGGTGGGTACCTACCCCCCATTGCAGAGGTCCAGAGATGGGGCTTCCTAAGCTCGGCGGGACCCCCAAATTCCTCTCCCAGAGAACCGCCCCGCCCCCTCTCTTCCCGGGGGCCCCGTACCTGAGGGAGCGGACACCCTGCAACCTCGCTTCCTGCCAACTCCCAAAGAGGGCAGCCCGGGCTCCCAACACCCCGGGGCTCCCGGCGCACAGTCTCCCCAGGCTCAGCATCCCGACGTAAACAGCCACTGCTCACTTCGCCCTGCGTCCCGCGAGTTAACTTTTTAAAGTAAGCCGAGGCGGGGCGGGCGCGGAGCAGGCAGGGAGGCGGGGAGGGTGGCCTCTGCCTATGGGGTGCGGCGAACTCGGTCCGGGAGGGTGGAGCGTGGCGCGGCGCGGCGGTGGAGTCTTAGCGCAGGGCCACCTTCCCCTTGAACCCCGCGGCCCTCCCCCTCCCACCCTCGAAGAATGGCCCTGGTTTCCTCTGGATCTGAAGGCCCCAGCTGCAGCCTGAGACAGATCTTCCTCGCAACCATCCTCAGGGGCCTGGACTTTAGAGGCGCAAAAGTTTGTTGATTTCCTAGAGGGAGAGCCAGCCGCACATCCGTGCGGGGCCAGAGGCTGAGGCAGGAGAATTGCCTGAACCCAGGAGGCGGAGGTTGCGGTGAGCCGAGATAGCGCCATTGCACTACAGCCCGGGTAACAAGAGCGAAACTCCGTCTCAAAAAAAAAAAAAAAAAGACCTGTCCATCCCCTACCACTTTAGCTCTCGGGTCAGGTGCTGGCCCGCTACTTGCGAGCCAGAGGCCAAAGGAGCAGGCGCGAAGCGCCCTTGAGGCATGCCAACTGGAGCACAGGGCCCGCTGGGGTGGGGAGGCAGCTGCGACAAAGGGTGTCGACTGTGAGCCGCCACCGGGCCTGCTGGTGCCGGAGTTCCAGCGGAGGCCAGATTTCAGCTTCAGAAGGGACACCAGTTGGTACCCCATCTCACACGAGGCATCCTCCCCTCCCCCCTGGGCGCCTCTGCCTTGACCCTCTGCACGGGGTTGGGGCCGGTGCACTGTAAGGTGGCCTCAGGGACTGGGACCTGTGTATTTCATCCCCCATCTGCCTGTCTTGGGACCTGTGGCACAGTTCCCTGTGCTACCCCCGGTGTGAATAGAAAGCAACACTGTGCCCCTCCTTGGGGTTCCTGAGGCCCAGGGGTAGGTGGGGTACTAAGACCTGGGCAGAGCTGCAGGACAGAGAAGGTGATAGTCCAGCTCTGATCCAGGCTAGGAAAGGTGGCACTGGGCACCAAAGAGCAGCACAGTGTATACGTGTTCCAGGTCTGCATTGCCCCACGTAGCCATGATCTTTCCTCTAGGGAAGGAGCTGGAGAAGAACAAGGGAAGGGCCCTGGCAGGGTGACCTCCTCTCTCCTGATGGAAGGAGATAAAGTAAACCTTACAGGGCAGAAGGGGTGGCTGGGGGTGGATCCTGCCTTGACAGAACCTTTGCCCTTGTCTGGGAACTCTGGCTCCATTTCAGTCATGAGAAGTTCACTCTGAGCCTCTTTATAATCTTGAGCGTGACCTCAAATCCCCCCTGGAGCCCAGCTCCTAGGGAGGGTCCCCACATTTCAGTTTCTGTGGGGTTGGGGCAGGAAGAGACAGAGGAACAAAGAGATCACACGAGGCTGGGCCTACAAGGACGTGCCTTCCTAGTTAGACTGTCTCTGATAGCGGACCAGGTAATAGGGAGTGCTGGGGAATTCACAGGTCTGGAGTCCCAGCCCTGGCTGGCAGGCTCAGCCTCTAGCTTGCTGGGTGACCCTGGGTAAAGAGTTGCCCCTCTATGGGCCTATGAAGTGAGGGGTAGGTTCTGATCTTGTAGGTTTGTCCACTCTTCTGGCTAGTTTGAGGGTCAGTCCTACAGCAGGAGACAAGTGAGTTCCTCCTTGAACTTAGCTTCAGCCTCAGCTTTTCGAGACACTGGGCTTTCCTGATGCACAGGCTGTGGAATCTTAGCCACCAATTTCAGGATGTCTTGTACATGCCAGGCTCTTCAAGAACATTTTCTCTGACCCTCAAAAACACCCTGCAAGGAACAGGCATGCTTGGAATGTGTCTTTTTTTTTTTGAATTAAGAAACTGAGTCCAAAAGAGGTTCAGCCTCTTAAACATAGGCCAAGGCAGGCCGGGCACGGTGGCTCAAGCCTGTAATCCCAGCATTTTGGGAGGCCGAGGTGGGTGGATCACGAGGTCAAGAGATCAAGACCATCCTGGTCAACATGGTGAAACCCCGTCTCTACTAAAAAGACAAAAAGTTAGCTGGGCATGGTGGTGCGTGCCTGTGATCCCAGCTACTCGGGAGGCTGAGGCAGGAGAATTGCTTGAACCCAGGAGGTGGAGGTTGCAGTGAGCCGAGATTGCGCCATTGCACTCCAGCCTGGGTAACAAGAGTGAAACTCCGTCTCAAAAAAAAAACACAGGCCAAGGCTCTGCCCATAGGCTCTTTGTGGCTTTGGGCAAGTCATGGAGCCTCTCCAGCCTCATTATCGGTCAAATGGGGATAATAATACCAACTTCACACAGAGGTAAGAACTGAGTAGGTGGCACAGAACTGGTCATTGGCCAATTTACAGTGGTTGTTTTTTCTCCATCCTCTCCTTCTCTTGTCTTCACGCTCAGACTTTCCTCTGTTAGGAATTGCAAATCTTTTTTAGGAGGGGGAATTATTTTCTTTCTGCAAAACCCTAGTAGGCACTGTTTCTGTGGATGTGGGGTGGGCTGGGAGAAAGTCAAGATGGCTGGTGGGGGAGTCCGTGAATCATGGTGGGGGATCATGTAGACTCAGCATTCTTGGACCAGTATAGGGAAGTGGGGAGCGGGGCACACGGCCCATCTAGGCCCTCCAGCTTCTGTTCCCTTTCCTTCGCTTTAACCAATTCAATTCCCCATGGCTTCCGGAGGGAGTTTCTGCCTGAGCCATCACATCTCCTTTGTACTGCACATGACTTGCATGATTTATGATCCTTGTAATTTGGCTCATGCCACTGGCTACCATGAGAAAGCCCTTATTCCCTCACCTCTGTCAACATCCTGCTTCTGAGCTCCAAAAGCAGGCTCAAAATGTAAACACCATTTATTGATTTTTTTTCATTCTTAACATTAACCTATGAATAACGTCCAGAAGATCTAGTCACAGTTACAGAACAGAATGTAAATGTAATATCGCTAGCCTTGGAAGTTACATCTGATAGTAGTTGAGAGGGAAGGGGCTCAGGGGGAGTATAAACTAAAAATAAAGGAGTATGTCATTATGTATAAAAATAATAATTAAACTATAGCAGCAGGACTTGGGGAGGAGAGATGGGCATTATCAAACAGAAAATCTAGAAATGGCAAAATAAATATGTTATTTAGAGGCAAGTAGCAGAAGATAAAACAAAAATAGTTACAATAGTCCAAATGATTCTCTTTTGACTTAAATGGGTATTTCACCATATATATGCAATACCTATATATATATATATTCCCCAAAGAAATATATCTCCAAAGAAGATACACAGATGAGCAATTGCTCAACATCACCAGAAATTAGGGAAATGCAGATCAAAACCATCCTCAAACCCATTAGGATGGCTATTAATTAAAAACAACAGGCCAGGCATGGTGCCTCACACCTATAATCCTAGCACTTTGGGAGGCCGAGGTGGGCAGATTACCTGAGGTCGGGAGTTCAAGACCAGCCTGACCAACAAGGAGAGACCTCGTCTTTACTAAAAATACAAAATTAGCTGGGCATAGTGGCCCATACCTGTAATCCCAGCTACTCAGGAGAATCACTTGAACCTAGGAGATGGAGATTGCAGTGCACCGAGATCATGCACTCCAGCCCGGGCAACAAGAGCAAAACTCCATCTCAAAACAATGACAACAACAGGCTGGGTGCAGGTGCTCATGCTTGTAATCCCAGCACTTCTGGAGGCCAAGGTGCACAGATCACGTGAGTCCAGGATTTTAAGACAGGCCTGGGAAATGAAGTGAGAAACTAACTGTACAAAAAAAACAAAAATTATCCGAGTGTACTGGTGTGTGACTGAGGTAGAAGGATTGCTTGACCCTGAGAGGCCGAGGCCGCTGTGAGCTGAGATCACGCCGCTGCACTCCTGCCGGCGTGTCTGAGCAAGACCCTGTCCCAAAAAAAAAAAAAGAATACACACAAAAAACCCAGAAAATAACAAGTATTAGTGAGGATGTGGAGAGATTGAACATGTGTGCACGGGTGGTGGGAATGTAAAATGAGGCCACCACAATGGAAGACAGTATGGTGGTTCCTCACAAAATTAAAAATGAGTTACATGATCCAGCAATTCTACTTCTGGGTATATACCCAAAATAATTCAAAGTAGGGACTCCAACAAACATTTGTATACCAGTGTTCACAACAGAATTATTCCCGATAGCCAAAAGGCAGACACAACCCAAATATTCATCAATGAGTGAATGGATAAACAACTGTGGTATATTCATACAATGGAATAGTATTCAGCCTTCAAAAAGGAAGGAAATTCTCATACATGCTACAATCCACATGAACCTTGAACGCATTGGGCTAAGTGAAATAAGCCAAACACAAAAGAATAAATATTGTAGGATTCCATTCATATGAGACACTTAGAGTAGTCAAATTCACAGAGACAAAGTGGATGGGTGGTTGCCAGGGGTTGAGGTGTGGTGGGGGAGCGGGGAGTTATTGTTTGTTTAATGGGAGTAGTTTCAGTTTAGGAAAATGAAAGGATTTTTGAGATGGATGGTGGTGATGGCTATATAACAATATAAATGTACTTAATACCACTGAACCGTACCCCTAAAAATGGCTAAAATGATATATTTTATTTATGTCGATTTCCCCACAGCTTTTAAAAAAGCTTCTCTTTAGGGCATGGCAGTGGGAGGAAGAGTGAGGACACAGAACAGGCTTTTGTTAAAAAAAAAAGAAGCTATTTTCTCATTTTATTTTCTAAGATGGTGTATGTGATTTCTCTTAATAAAATATTTTATTAGCATGCCTGAGGGAGGCTTCCTGATTAGCACCATCAATCATTACAGGAACAAATGTGTTTGATGAGGTTTTCGCTGTAACCGAATGAGTGCAAAGGAGTGACGTGGGCTTGGAGTCAGTTTCAGTGTCAGATCTGGAAAGGACCCAACACTAGTGATTTTTCTGTCAATGACCTTGAGCAAATCTCTTTTCTCTGGTGTAATTTTTTATAGCTTCTCTGTTGTAATTGAGTGTCTCCAAGTAACAAGTGAAAAACGGCTCTTTTAAAGGATTTCCTTCACTGTGTGTTTGAGAACT